TTTATTATATTCATATTAATAAAAAAAGAAAACAAACAAACAACAACCGTTTATTCTCTCCCCCAGTTCTGGGGTTGACAGGGCTCAGCTGAGGTTCTCACTCAGGGCTCGTCTTGCAGTCACAGCCAAACGGTGGTTGGGGCTGGATTTACCTGGAAGGCGTCTTCACTCATGTCTGGTGGCCTTTGCTGCAGGGAGGCTGGGGTCTCGGCCAGATCACTACTCATGGCCTCGTCACGTGGCCAGGCCTTCCTGCCGGCATGGTGACAGGCAGGAGCTGCACCACTTTTTATGAGCTCACTTCAGTCACACAGAACCACTTAAGCTGTAGTCACAAGCCCACCCAGACTCAAGGCAGCGGTTGGGGGAGGGACACAGAGACACATAGACCATAACTCTGCCTGGGAGGAGTATCAACATTACATTGTAAGGAGAGAATGTGGGATCTTGTTGCAACCGTTTGGAGCACACACTTTGCACGGATGCCCTTCCTGCAGGATTCCTCCTTGCAAACCCCTATCACAGCACTTATCACACTGTGGGAAACCGCTGATTTCTGACCCACCTTTTCCACCATTGTATGAGCTCCTTAAGAGAAGAAACTGGATCATCAGAGTCATCTTTGTATTCCTGGTACTTCGTGGATGCTCAAAAAATTATTTGTTGAATCAATAAACAAACAAAATTTGGACTTAAAGTAAGAAATATTTTTAAATGCTTCTAAAGTATCTATAAAAGTTTTTATCAAAATGTTTTAGGCTGGGTCAACTTGAGACTGCCAGCTTTGAGAACTGTTAATACCTTTAAGTTTCATTAGTAATATATTCTCATCTTTGACTAATCTATCTTTAAGTACTAAAGTTGCTACTAACTCAAACATATCCAACAGCTTAAAATGTATCAGCAACACAAAATGCTCATCTTAACATATATTCAAAGTAACTTGTGAATTTATTATTTTCCCCTCAAAATTGGTGAGATATTTTATGACAAACACCCTTAAGAGGAAATTTATGTACAACACCACTGTTGCTAAATATGCCAAAGGAAATAGTTTAAAACCACTCCAAAAACTTAGTGTACTCAAGTGCAAACATACAATTTTAAAGTATTTTTATTCATAAATTACATATTTTTATATCATGTTATTGAATATACGTCATTCAAACCTAAATTATCACTGTCAACTTATTTTCTTTTTCTTGTCACAATCAACTCATTTTCTTTTTCTTGTCAGCAAGTACAACCAAGATGAAACAAAATTATATAAAATCTCAAAAATTACTTAAGCTGTTCCCTGGCCTAAACGAGGCACACACGTATATTCAACACACTAAAGTGTTTGTCTTAAGAACACTGTACCTTGTAGTACACCATCCTTACAATTACACTGTTGTCCCAAATGTAAAGTAGTCCTTAATTTGTTGAGAGTCTGGGTATATTTCTGTTTTGATCACTTTCCTCACGAGGCATCATCAGTCATTAATCCCCCCAAACAAGGACTAATGCTCACCAGCAGCACTTACTTACCGATTAATATCTGACCACTCTTCATAGCAGAGCCTCCTGGCAGCAGGCCATGGACCACGAGCCTCTCTCCACCGCCATGCTTTCCAGTTCTTCTCCAGCTCCACTTGGTCTGATGGATAATCCCAACTAGGACTTCCAGAAGCTTGAGTTGCTCTTTGGCTTTGGTGATGGTTAGCTTTTTAGGGTTTACATAAACATTCACGTCTTTGTACCGCTGTTGGACGACAACTCCTGTTTTCTGATTGGACTGATGCTTTAGGATGGATACTGGTCCACTGTCATTGCTATTTTTTTTATTATTGCGCTTGGGTAAAAGTTTTTTACTTTTTAAAATCTTAGTGAACCGCTTGAGTTTGGGTTCATATTTTTTTCCTTCTTTGTAATCATCTTCTTCAATAATAATCTCATTTTCACTGAACCTGACATGGTTCACAGTAGGTGTCTCAGGAAGGAGGCCTTCTTCCTCACCCTCACTCAACTCCAGATAAAACAGCTCTCCATTTTTCTGAACACTGTCCAGCCATTCAGGCTCAAGGTCACTATAAAAAAAGAGAAAAGATAATCTAAATAGCAGTCAAACATAAGAAAAACAGTTATGTCTTTCCAGCAGGAGGTGTGGGAGTATGGGGAACATGGATATGGGAAGGGCGAAAATTCTTTGATTATTTCAAAGTCTCCTTACTGTTTCTAACGTATTGTAAGCATCAACATTATTTTCTATAGAGCCTTGAAGAACGGAGGTTGGAGAAGGGATCAAGATGGCATACAGATAGAAAAGAAAACAAATAAAAAAAGAGAAATGGCCCCCTGCTAGAATCTAAGGTTCTGTTTTGTTTTTAAATCTAATTTAGCCCCTGTGTGATTATTGTTCACTTTAGACAATTTCACTGGACAATAATTTACATTAGTAGTTGATTATGCAATTATATCCAGAGACATAAGACATTCAGAAACTGTACAGAAAAACATCCTCTTTCCATAATTATTCAGCATGGCTGACATGTTAAAACAAAAACTAAAGTCTACCAGCATTGAGACTTTGTGTATACAATAAATTTTCAAAAAAAAAAAGCATTAACTCACCATGAACTAAAACCTTTGCTGAAAACAACTAGTTTATAATCACAGTTAATAGTAATCACTACTGTAGCCTATAATTTCCATAAAATTCCTTTTAATGAATAATTGTGGTAGGAAGAGTAAACTACATATTACATAATTCATCATATGATTGTAAAAAGTTTTAACTGGGAAGCAGGCCATTGAAAAAAACAAAAATATTGCTATTAAAATGATTGAAACATACATTGTAAACTGACTATACTTCAAGTAAAAAAATGATTGAAACAGTATTAAAAAACAAAAATACTCATCTTAAGGTAACAAACCTAACTACAAACTCTAGCCTGTTAAATGCTATGAACAGCTTACCTTTCAAGCTGCTATTCTTTAGAGCAAAATTGGTCACAGTGGAAAAACTAACATGTAGAGAGAGATTTTTCAGAAACATGAGCTGTAATATCCTGGCATGAAAGGGTATAATTTGTGTTCTAATCATTCAGTCAGAAGACATTTTCAGTTTTCTGCAGTGTTTGTGAGCAACTCTGGTTCTTTTAACTTAAAAGCCAAAATGTGAAAATTAACACCCCCAGAAACGCACTGTTCTATCAGTCAATCTGAAACTAACCACTGCCCTGGTCCGTGGGTGATAATATTTATATAAATAAAATAATATATAAGAATTTTCAACTCTCTATAAATGGTTAAAAAAATAACTATTCCCAGATATCAAAACTAGCATTTCTTAGGCACTTGCTGATTCCCAGTGTGTGGCATCATTTTAGGCACTTTTAGCATCGATTCCTGTGGATGATTCATCATGTATCAATTGTTTTGACCATACCTATCTGTACCTGCAGAAATCAGTATTTAATAAAGATACATATATATATATATATCTTTACCCAAAGACTATACCAACTCACATTTCCACCAGCAATGAAAGAGACCCATTTTCTTAACCTCTAGATTTAAAAATATTTCACTTTAAGTGGAAGAAATCTTTTTTAAAAAAAGAGGAAGAAATTAAAAGAAGGGAGATAAGAGATAGGAATAAAGACAAATAAATGAATGTGGGAGTCTGTAAAAGGCGGCAAACCATATAATAAAAAGGAAATGAACTTGAGAAGTCACAGACCTTGGTTCAAACTCTGTTCTATTGAGACTTTCACTTTTTTAAGTTTTTGTTTTCCTCATCTAGAAAATGGATTATAGCTACCTCACAGGGCTGTTATCAACAGCAAATAAAACAATGTGCCTGGCAAGGTAAATGCCAAATAAATGACAGGTCCCTTCCTCTCACCCTGCACAGTCAGAACTGTGGAGAAACTTACACCTTTATGAGACACAGCTCTTATACTTCTGAATTTTTCCAACCCGTGGCAATAAAGGAAGATTTCTCCAGTGACCTCTATTTGCTAGGTTCCAAGCTAAGTGCCGGTGACCTAAGAACCAAAAGGAGATGCTGCCTTCAAAGCCACAGTTCAGAATTCCCAGGAGGATTCCTTATCCCTACTACAGGTGATTAATTCCTATTTAGATAAACATCAAGAGCACAACTGATCAATGTGTCAGAAAGTTTAACAGAGTTGGAAAGACTGCATTCTGAAATAAGTTCTATTAGAATGAAGGGAGTTTATTAAAACAACAATAAAACAAAAATCCCAACTTCTCATGGCAAGTATTCATTAATAATGAAATTAATACTATATGTAGATTCTCCCCACTCCAGGAGATGGAGCGTAATCTTTCCTCCTGTTTAGTGTGGACTGGACTTAGCGACGTGCTTCCAAAGAACAGTATGTAAAGTGAAAAATAGCAGCTTCACAGTGAAGAAACCTGGCAGATACCATCTTAGCCAAGTGACTGAGGTTATGAAAAACAAGGAAGGACTGAGAAACTGTCACAGACCAGAGGAGACTAAATGCAATATGATATCCTGGACTAGATCCTAGAACAGAAACAGGACATAAGTAGAGGAATGGTGAAATCTGAGAAACGTCTGGAGTTTTGTTGATGGTACTGTACTAATATGAATTCCTTAGTTTTCATTAGTGCACTGTATTTGTGTAAGATGTTAACATCTGGGGAAAACTGGGTGAAGGATATACAGGAACTCTCTGCATTATCTTTGCAACTTTTCTGTAAATCTAAACTTATTCCAAAATAAAAGGTTTATATTTTTAAATGAATTAAATCTAGCAGTTTTAGTTCAGATTTCTGTAATACATGAGTCACATTAATCAATATTAATATAAATATTCATTTCTTTTCTGAGGTCCTACAGTACAAGCTGCAAAGTTGTCATTGTGCAAATGTCTTTCAATGAGATTCTTACAAGT